ACTGAGATTGAATCAGTAATTAAAGCCCTCCCAACCAAGAAAAGTCCTGGACCAGCTGGCTTCACTGCTGAATTCTACCAAATATTTTAAGAGGAATTTACCCCAGTCCTACAGAAGCTTTTCCAAAAAATAGAAGGCAATCCTTCCAAACTCTTTCTGTGAAGCTAATACCACAGCCAGATAGAGAAACACCAGAAAAAGAGAACTACAGATCGATAGCTTTGATGAACACACATTATCCTCAATAAAATACTAGTCAACAGGATCCAACAACACATCAGGCAGATCATTCACCTGGACCAGGTGGGATTCATCCCAGGCACGCAGGGATAGTTCAGCATTCACAAATCAACATGTGATACATCACATCAACAAATTGAAAAATAAAAACCATATGATCATCTCAAAGATGCAGAGAAAGCATTTGATAAAATCCAATACTACTTCATGCTGAAAAGCCTAAACAAGATAGGCATAGAAGGAACATTTTATAACACAATCAAAGAAAAATCCAATGCCAGCATCATACTAAATGGAGAAAGATTGGAAGCCTTCCCACTAAAATCTGGAACTTGACAGGGATGTCCACTGTCACCACTACTCTTCAATATAGTATTGGAAGTCCTTGCCAGAGCTATTAGGCAAGAAAAAAGAATTAAAGGAATCCAAATTGGAAAAGAGGAAATAAAATTATCTATTTGCAGACGACATGATTCTCTACATAGGAGAACCAAAAGACTCAGTCAAGAAACTATTGGAGTTCAGAAGAAACTTTGGCAGTGTGGTAGGATATAAAATTAATGAACACAATTTGATGGCACTAGTGTAGACAAATAATTCCATGCATGAAAAAGAAATTTTAAGTACAGTCCCCTTTAAAATAGAGGAAAGGAATCTTAAATACCTAGGAATTAAGCTAACTAAATATGTGGAAGACCTCTATGATGAAAACTGTAAAATATTTAAAAAGGAAATAGAAGAAGACCTTGAAAAATGGATAAAATTATTGTATTCCTGGATTGGCAGGATCAACATCATCAAAATGACCATTGTTAGAATCCGGGCTAGAGCCATCCGGATGTTAGGGTGTGAGCTAGTCAACTCCCAGAAAACGACGAAGAACCTCGCTGGTAATGCAAAAAGCAAACAGAGTTTATTGTGCCAGCATGCTGGGGTCAGATTGAACTTGGGGCACACAGGCCAACCAAGCGGATCAGACCTCGACTTAACATAAGGCTGGAGATTATATACGCCATTTTGGCTGTAACATATATCAAAGTCAACTCAAAAGTAACAAATTTAGACTTATGTGGCTCCCAGGTGCAAGCAGTCTATTCCATTCTCACACTCATTATTTACAATCCCACCCTTATTGTTTACGCTCTCACACTTATTATTTACGGCTCATCCCATCCTGGCACCCTTATCTTTATGGCCCCTCCAGTCTCTGGGACCAGGGAACTGGGCCCCTGCCTTCCTGCACCCAGGTTAGTTGATAGATAAGGTTACAAAGAAGCAAAGGACAGATTTATCACTAAAGTGGAGTTTTCCCACAGTTCAGGCGTCTCCTAACCTAGCGAAGTAGTGGCTTCTCACCCCAAAGGGCGTAATATCGCCTAATGCTAATATTCTTAACATTCTAACATACTAACATTATACCAACACTCTAACACCATATTACCAAAAGCAATATACACCTTGCCCGCACTGGAATCCCATTTGGGCTCTGGTTCTAATCCCAGTGGTCCCGCTTCCCATCCAGATCCCTGCATGTGGCTTTGGGAGGCCGTTGAAAATGGGCCAAGGACTTGGGACCCTGCACCTGCCTGGTTTCAGATCAGCTCAGCTCTGGCCATTTGTAGCCACGTGGGGAGTAAATTGACACCTGGTGGAAGATTTTCCTCTCTGTCTCTTTTCTTCTCTGTATATCTGACTTTCCAATAAAAATAAATCAATCTTTAAAAAAAAGTAACTTAGAAGTGGGGCCCAGTGTGACAGTTTAGTGGTTAAATTCTCACCTTGCATGTGTCAGGATTCCATATGGGTGCTAGTTTATGTCCTAGGTGCTTCACTTGCCATCCAGCTCCCTACTTGTGGCTTGAGAGAGTGGATGGAGGATGGCCTGGGGCATTGGAACCCTGCACCCACATGGAAAACTGGGCAGGGTGGGAATATTCCTGGCTTCTGGCTTCAGATCAACTCACCTCTGGCTGTTGTAGCCACAGGGGGGAGTGGACCAGCAGATGGAAGATATTTCTTTCTGTGTCTCCTCTCTGGATATATGCCTTTCTAATGAAAATAAGTAAATCTTAAAAAAACAAAACCCAAATAACAAAAAACCAAAATGTCAGGGAGCTGGTATTGTAGCACAGCAAGTTTATCCATCATCTGCAGCACTGGCCTTCCCTATAGGCCCCAGTTCCAGTTCTAGCTATTCCATTTATTCTACTGCTCCCTCTTAATGCACCTGGGAAAGCAGCAGAAGATGGCTCAAATTCCTGGGCAACCTACACCCATGACAGAGGAGACTCCAAACTCCCAGCATCAACATGACCCAACCTGTCATTGTTGCCATGTGGGGAATGAACCAGTGGTTGAGATCTTTCTGTCTCTCTCTCTGCAAATACGCCTTTCAACTAAGTCAACAGATCTTTAGAAATGAGTACATACGTAAGTAAGATAAAACTCAATGGAAACCGAAGTTCAGTATTAACCATCCTTATGGAAGATTATACATCTGTTAAAACATGAACTATATGTCCTGAAATATACACAGAGCTCCAAGAGCTATTGAGGGGCGAAAAAAAGAAAGCAGAGGAAAAATTCATCTAATGTAGTCATGTATGTATTACCTTAGACAAATTAAACACTATAAACATATGGTTGCATGTGAATATAAGTGATAATGATGAGTATTGAGTTACATTGGTTAAACAGACTGCAAGAATGACCCTTTCATTTCCATTCTGTCATTAATATTTTTTAAAGATTTTTTTTGGAAAGTCATATATATAGAGAGAGGAGGAGAAACACAGAGGAAAATCTTCTGTCCGCTGATTTACTCCCCAAGTGGCCGCAGTGGCCAGGAGCTTCTCCCAAGTTTCCCACATGGGTGCAGGGTCCCAAGGCTTTGGGCAGTCCTCAACTGCTTTCCCAGACCACAATCAGAGAGCTGGATGAGAAGCGGGGCTACCGGGATTAGAACGTGTGCCTATATGGGATCCTGGCACATGCAAGACAAGGACGTTAGCCGCTAAGCTACTGCGCTGGGTCCATTAATACTTTTTAAAGATTTTATTTTAATTGGAAAGCAGACATGTACAGAAAGGAGGAAACTGAGATCTTCCGTCCACTGATTCACTCTCCAAGTGACTGCAACAGATGCAGCTGAGCTGATCCGAGGTCAGGAGTTCAGAGCTTCTTCTGGTTCTCCCACACGGGTGCAGAGTCCCAAGGCTTTGGGCCATTCTCCACTGCTTCTCCAGACCACAGACAAGGAGCTGGATGGGAAGCAGGGTGTCTGGGACATGAACCAGCACCTATTTGGGATCCTGACACATGCAAGGCAAAGGCTTTAGCTGATTTTAAAAAAAATTTTTAAACCCATTTTTAAAAGGAAGATTACTTGTAAGACAAAATGACAAAGACAAAGGGGAAACCAGAAATAGAGAGAGAGATCCACCATCTGCTGGTTCTATCCACAAAGGCCTACAACAGCCATGAGCTCCATTCTGGTCTTCCACATAGGTGGCAGGGACTTGATTACTTGCGACATTATCCACCATTTTCCCAGGCACATTATCAGGGAGCTGGATTGGAGGAACAGTTGGGATATATGCTCTGATGAAGGGTGCAGGCATCCCAAGCAATGGCATATCTAACTGAAACACAATGCTTGTCCCAATTATCATGAAGAAATAGGCACATGGAAGTAACTTTTTCTAGATAATATTTAAACCCAGGCACTCTGACTCTGAATAACCTTTGAGCTTGCAGAGGAAGAAAACTGGAGAGAAGACCATTGTTGTAGGTGCTTATCCTGCAGAAGCATGGGTGGTGGGTTTCTGTTTCTCTTTTTTCTTTCTGCTGTATCCACAAGGAGAGGAGGAAGAGAGGGAACCACTCCTTGCTGTCAAACTACATTGGCATCTGGGGATAGGGAACACGCCTTACAGACTGATGTGGGGAACAGCATTCTAAGGGTGTTACTTGAGTGGTGTTACTATGATGGTTCAGAAACGTTGTTGGCTTTGTTTCTCCAGGGCTGAGAAAATCTTTCCAAGGTCTTTTGTTTGACAAAGTCCACCTCAGTGCATCCACAGACTCAAGAATATGCTGCAGAGCTTGGCCAGGGGTGTTGTCTAATTGATGAGGCAGTTGATATCCCCCACTGGCCTAGATGAGCTGTCCTTCATGTCCCCAGTCGCAAGGCTTTGGACCCAAGCATTTGGACATGCTGGCCACTGAATAGGCAAATGCAACTGAGGAGGTCCAGTCCCAATACATGCATTCCAAGGTAAGACTACGCATCCTGTGACTTATCCTGTGGCCAGGGTATGACTTCAGCAGTATAGTTTGGGAATTCCCCAAGAAACCTTACCTGTGAAAATCTGTGGTTCAGACATTTTCCAAAGTTCCTCTGTTTTTGTGGAAAATTTGAAGTTTCTGTGTTATTTATTTTAAAAAGATGAAAGAGGAAGTGGGAAAAAAGAGAGAAAGAGGCAGAAGTGGAGCAGCCAGGAAGCAAACTCTTGCCTATATGGGATGCTGGCATTGCAGGCAGTAGCTTAAATCATTATGCCAAAGTGCCAGGCCAGTGTGTTATCTCTTATAGTGCTTCAGTGATTCTGTGTATTGCATTAATGAATCATATATTGATTTCTTTATCCTAGATAATTTGATTAAATATTAAGAGTTAATAATCACTTAATATTTTACAACACGGGCTGCAGCTATAAAATCAGGGGTCCTTCCACATGCCTTCTGCCAGCTCCTTGGAAATGGAGATGTTTTGGAGTGCGGTCTTTACCGTGCTCCTCAGTTTATCCTGCCAGGGGGCAGACTGGGGATCTGACAGCAGTTTCATCTCAGCTGCTGGTCCTCTAACCACTGACCTGCTGCCCAGCCTGAACTGTCCACCGGGAAAGCAGAGTTCTGGGTCTGCAGCAGGACACGAGGACATTGTTGTGTGTTGCCAGCCACTGCCCGCTTCCCTGCCAGAGTATTTCAGCAGTCTTCGTGCCAGTGAGGTCAGCCATTATAAGGTATTTCTGTCATGGGCACAGCTGCTGCCAGCAGGGAGCTCCAGGGAGCCTGATGAGAAGGTGGTGCGGTGCTACCGGCAGCTCCTGGAGGCCCTCAGGGCAGCGCAGCTTGAGCCCATGGTCATCCTGCACCACGGGACCCTCCCTGCCAGCCTGGGGCCGAGAAGGGAGGGCTTCTCTGACCTCTTTGCCGAGTATGCGGCCTTCGCCTTCCGTGCCTTTGGGGACCTCGTGGGAATCTGGCTCACCTTCAGTGACTTGGAGGCAGTGGTGATGGAACTTCCTCATGAGGAATCCAGAGCTGCACGCCTCCAGCTCATCACTGAGGCCCACCAAAAAGCCTATGAGATTTACCACCAGAAATACGCTCTGCAGGGTGAGTAAGCTGAGTTTCCAAACCTCTGAGCAGTTTAGAATATTTTCATCCCTCTCCTATGCGTACCCTGCCCTTCATGAATCTCCAAGTTGCCATGTATCTCTGTATCTTCTCTACACCCATTCTTCATAGAATCCTTCTATTTGTTAATCCTATAATTTATTATTATTATTATTGTTGTTGTTGTTGTTATTAGAGAGATGACAATTAAGAAATCACGGATAATCTGTACAATTGGAAGCCATTCTTGGGTCATAAAATTTTTCTTTTTAGTCAAAACTTAACAGTCTTTATTTCTAAAAACAAGTTTAAGTTTAAAGAAATACTTCAGATGGCAACTTGCTGCCATAAGCCCTCTGTCACCAGACTCAGATTTCCCTATATTAACATTTTCTTAATTAGATGCATTTGTTATGAATAATGAGCCAGTATTGGATACTTTATTATTTTTATTTTAAAGATTTATTTTATTTTTATTGGAAATTCAGATATACAGAGAAGAGGAGAGACAGAGAGGAATATATTCCATCTGTTGATTTCACTCCCCAAGTGACCACAACGGCCAGTGCTGCACCTATCACAAAGACAGGAGCCAGGAGCTTCTTTCAGGTCTCCCACATGGATGCAGGGTCCCAAGGCTTTGGGCCATCCTCCACTGCTTTTTCAGGCTACCAGCAGGGAGCTGGATGGGAAGCGGGGCCACCAGGATTAGAACTGGCACCCACATGGGATTCCAGTGCTTTTAAGGCAAGGACCTTAGCCACTAGGCCACAGTGCTGGGCCCTGGATACTTTATTATTAACTAAAATCCCTATTTTTCAGATTTTTCTTAGCATTTGGTTAATGTCATTTTTGTGTCCCTGGCTCTTATGCAGAATGCTGCATTACAATTTTCTGTCACGCTTGTTTTGGGTTCTTTGAGCTGGGACAATTTCTCATAACTTTCTTATTTTTAAAAAATTATTTACTTATTTAAGTAGTTAGTGAGTTAGTTAATCTGTTATTGAAGATGCAAAGAGACAAACTGGGAAAGAGAAATAGAAAGACCTTCCATCTACTGGTTCACTCTTAGAGTGCCCCGTTGGATGGAGCTGGGCCAGGTTGAAGCCAGGAACCAGAAATACAATCCAGATCTCCCACGTACGTAGCAGGGAGCCAGCTACTTGGGTCATCACTGTTTCCTCTCTGCATGTACATTAGCAAGAAGTTAGTATGACATTGGAAGCAGATCAGGTAGTTGAACTCAGGCACTCTGACACATTGAGCCTTGCATCATCACGACTAGGCCAACCAAGTGTCCCAGACATGCATTATTATACAGAAGTAAGTGCTGTTTTCATCACATCATATCAAGGGTTTATACTGTGTACTTGGTTTATGATTATTTGATTAAATATTTGGCTAAGGTAGTGTTTGTCAATTTTCTCCATTATAAAATTATTTTGATTCTCGATACCACTTTATACTCTTTGGAAAAGATGTCACTGTGTATGGATCATGCTTAACAAGTGAGGAGCTGTGTAGCCCCAATTTAAAACATTTTTGAAAGTGCTTTTCTAGGGGCAAATGTTTGACCTAACAGTTAAGATGCATCCAGGATAGAGTACCTGGGTTCAAAACTAGCTCTCATCACAGTTCTAGCCTCCTGTGGCTTCCAGATAACATACCCTTTGGAATGCAGCAGGTAATGGCGTAAGTGTCTGTGTTCCTGCCATCTATAGGGGTCTGTGTACATGGGTGAGCAGAATGAATTCCCAGCTCTTCGTTTCAGTCTGGTTCAATCCTGGTTGTTGCAGGCATATAGGGAATGAACCAATAGGTGAGAGATTTCTCTCTGTCTCTGACTTTCTCTTAAAATAAATTAAATTAAAAATTATTTAATGTATTTCCTAAACTTAATAATGGGGAATACTCTAGAACTATAGAAAATTATTTAAAGAAAATAAGAGGGCACAAGTAAATGGAAAGATATAGTGTGTTCTTGACTTAAAGGCTTGGTACTATTAAGATATTACCCAAAGCAATATAGTTTTCATAAAATCTCTATACAAGTCCCATTGACTTTATTTCAAAAATAGAAAAACTCACCCTTACATTCAAATCTTAAGGAACTCTAAGTAGCCAAAATAATCTTGGAAGAAGAAAACAAAGTTAGAAACCTCATAGTTCCTGATTGCAAACCTGCAAAAATCAAAACAATGTGAAACTGACAAAGAACAGACACACAGACTAATGGAATAGGAGAGAAAGCTCAGAAATAAACCCTTCATATTTGGCAAAGCTGCTGAGATCATTCAAAAGGGAAAGGATAATCTTTTCACCAAGTATTGCTAGGATAATTGAATATCCTTATGTAAAAGACTGAAACTGAACTCTTCCATTTTGGCATGCATAAAAAAATGCTTAAAATTTGTTAGAGACCTAAATGTTACTACAACTGCTGCAAAACTCTTGGAAGAAAACATTGGGGGAAAAAAATTGAAACATTGGCAGTGAATTCTTAACTATGACACCAAAATCACAGCACACAAGAAAAAAATCAGTAACTTAGACTTCAACATAATTTAAAACTCGGTCTATTAAATGATACCATTGACAGAGGAAAAAGCACACAGAGTTGGAGAAAATATTTGAAAATCATTTATCTGATAGCATTTTTATCTGGAATATGGAAAGAGAGAGAGAGATCTTTATGTCCTGGTTCATTCCCCAAGTAGCTACAATAGCCAGGGTTGGGCCAGGCCAAAACCAGGAGCCAGGAGCTTCTTCCAAGTCTCTCATGTTGTGGTAGGAGACAAAGCACGTGAGCCATCTCTTCTGGTTTTCCCAAGCCATTACAAGGAGCTGAATCAGAAATGGAGCAGATGGGAAATGAACCCATGCCCATTTGGACGCTGCCAATGCTGGCTGCCACTTTACCCACTGTCACAATGCTGCCCTCTTATGAAGAAGTCTTAACAACAACTAACCTCATTAAAATTAGGCAGAAGGGGTCCAGCATAGTAGACTAGCAGGTAGAGTCCTCAACTTGTATGCATCAGGATCCCAGATGGGTGCTGGTTTGTGTCCCAATTGATCACTTCCCCTTCAGCTCCCTGCCTGTGGCCTGGGAAAGCAGTCGAGGATGGCCCAAAGCCTTGAGACCCTGCACCTACATGGGAAATCCAGAAGAAGCTCCTGGCTTAGGATCAGCTCAGAACTAGCCATTGCTGCCACTTAGGGAGTAAAGTAGCTAACATAAAACCTTTCTCTCTGTCTCTCCTCTCTGTATATCTGACTTTCCAATAAAAATAAATTTTGAAAATTAGGCAGAAGATTTCAACAAACATTTTTTCCAAACAATGGGAAAAGCCAATAAGGTAGGAAATAATCATTCTGGAAATGCAGATAAAAAGCACTGCTTCATAGCCATTAAGATGGCTGCTATAAAAATAAATGTGTATACACACAGAGATTATATGTGAATGGGCATGTGGAGAAATTGCAATCCTTGTAACTCCTGCTGATGGGGATATAAACTGGTATGGTTACTGTGGAAAACAACATAATAGTTTCTCAAAAAACAGTTAATAAGCACATTTACCATATGATCCAGCAGTTCCATTGCAGGATACATACACAAAGGAACTGAAAACCCAGCCTTGAAACAAGTATTTGTAATGGTAGTGTTGTTCACAATAACCTTGAGGTAAAAGCAACCCAAGAAATCATCACTGGATGAATAAAGGAAGAAAACATATGCACAAACAATGAAATATTTTTCAGTCTTAAAAAGGAAGCAACTCCTGACACAATCTATAGCATAAGAAATATGCCCAACCCACAAAAGGCAAATAATGTATGATTCTACTCAAATGAAGTTCTTTCTCTAAAAAATCGAAATCACAGAGCTAAAAAATAGAAGACTAATGATGAGTGTGATGAGTTATTGCTTACTGCCTAGAGAATTGCCGTTTGGGAAGGTGAATAGAGTTATAGAGATGGGCCATGGTGATGATTGCACAACATTGTGAGAGTTGCTAATGCCAGAGTTATACACAAAAAAAATGTTTAAAATGGTAAATTCTATGTATATTTTACTACAATTTTTAGATTTTTTTAAAGTTTATTTGAAAGAGTTACACAAAGAGAGAAAGGTCTTTTATCCACTGGTTCATTCACCAAATGGCTAAAATGGCCAATGAAAAATCGAGTATTAGCGAGAGCTGGAAACTTCATCTAGGTCTCCTGAATGGCTGATAGGGGCCCAAGCACTTGAGACATCTGCTGTTTTCCCAAGCCATTAGCAGGTAGTTAGATTAGAAGTAGATATATTTGAACCTGTGCCCATATGGCCTACCTGCCTCAGAGGCAGCAGCATTACTAGCTACACCACAATGCCAACACCTACCACAATTCTTCACAAGTTCAACTGCCATTCTTTCTAATCTTTAAATGTGTTATTGTAAACGTGCTGGGTTATTCATTGATATAGTCTTCTATTTTAATTTTTTAAAAAAGATTTATTTATTTTTAGTTCAAAGTCAGATATACAGAGAGGAGGAGAAACAGAGAGGAAGATCCTCCATCCGATGATTAACTCCCCAAGTGAGCACAATGGCTGGAGCTGTGCTGATCGGGAGCTAGGAGCCAGGAGGCAGGAACTTCCTCCAAGTCTCCCATGCAGGAGCAGGAGCAGGATCCCAAGGCCTTGGGCTGTCCTAAACTGCCTTCCCAAGCCACAAGCAGGGAGCTGGATGGGAAGTGGAGCTGCCGGGATTAGAACTGGCGCCGATATGGGATCCCAGTGCGTTCAAGGCGAGGACCCCAGCTGCTAGGCCACACCGCTGGGCCATTCTGTTTTAATTTGACTAGGATGTGCTTCCCGTTTGCCTTTGGTTTTGGTAGGTGCTATTCCTCTTCTCTGTCAAGAGAACATCTTGAAGTATCATTTGTAGGGTAGGTTTGGAAGAAGTGCATTCTTTTAACTTTTTTTTTTCTTTACTGTGGAAGAATTCTATTTCATTTTCAAAGAGAAAGGAAAGCTTTGCTGGGTGCGTTATTCTGGGCTGACAATTTTTTCTTTTAGAATCTGGAATATGTCACTCCATTCTCTTCTGGCCTGTAGAGTTTCCTGTGCGAGATCTCCTGTGAGTTTAATTGGCATTCCTTTATATGTCAAATGATTTTTTTCACGTGCACATTTAAGGATCTTTTCCTTATGTTCAATTGGAAAGAGCTTGGTAATCATGTGTCTTGGTGAAGATTGCTTTTGAACAAGCCTGTTGGGAGTTCTGTGCTCCTCCTGGATCTTGTTTCCCAATTCTTTCTCCAGATTAGGGAAATTTTCCTAGATTATTTCATTAAATACATTTGCAAACTCAGCTTCTCTTTCTGCACCTTCTGGGACTCTCATAATTATTATATTTGTCCTCTTAATAGTGTCTTCCAATTCTTGAATACTTTTTTTGGCCTGATCCAGCTCTGCTGCCAACTTTTTGTTTGTTGCCCCATGGTGACAGGAAATATCTTCTGAGATTCTTTCTTCTGCCTCTTTCAATCTATTTGTGCGACCCTCCACTGTACTTTTAATTTGCTCCACTGTATTCTTCATTTTTGATATATTAGCTTTCATTTGATTCATTCCTGTGTGACATATTCCTTGAATTCCTTGAATGCCTGATTTATGTGTTTCTCATTGTTGATAAAATCTTTATAACAAGTGTTTTGAATTTTGTATACCCCATTTTCTCGATGTCTTCCTCACTGAACTCTGAGGTTGGCAAACACTTTTGGTACATTGCAGGGGAGTCTTCAGTAATGTTTAGTTTCCCATTGTCTCTTCTTTTGCTCTTGGTCATTGTACTTCTGGTTATCAGATTCTTCTTCCTGGGGCAGGTTTCTAAGCTGTGTCACCCACAGGTCTACAGTTCAACTTCACTTATTGCAGTTGGTACATAACTCTTTGTTGGCAGTCATTTGTGCCCCTCCCTCCAGTGAGTTCCAGCTCTGGATTCTTATGTCAGATTTCCACCATGATCTTAGTATCTCCAGTTCCTGGCTCACCACTCTGCACCTCCTGTGATACTGTGCTGAGGCTGCACTGTTTTCTCCCACTTCCTGTTAGAGCAGGTCCCAAGACTAGGAAGACACAAAGTGTCCTATGTAGTTAGTTTGTTGGTGGTGCTGATCTTGCCAGAACCTGTTGATTGTTAGGTCTGAGGGCCACACGGACCTATTTTGACCCATTCAGTGCCGAAGTTGGTATTATTTTCCCTGTGGGACCAGTACAAAGCACCGAGCTGAGTTTGCTCCCAGCTCTGCACAAACACAGCTCACTGTTGTCCCTGCAGTCTTAAACTCTTTGCCTACATTATGTAAAATGGCGCTTGATGTGCCACTGCTAGAGCTCATAATCTGCTGGCTGTCAGGTCTGAGGGCTACTGGACTGAACTTTGGTGGAACATTGTTGCTCGTGGAGGTCTGCTGCCGGTGCCATTTAGGTCACCACTCGCTGAATGCCGCTGGGGTATCAGTCACTGCAACACCACACTGCTGTTTTCACTGCTTTCCTGTGTCTGTCAGTCTCCAGGTACCCTTCTGCTGTCATTCTGTCCTCTTCTATTTCCTGGAATGTGCTCTCTCTGCTTCACACTGGCTAATGTTTCTTCATCTGTTTAAATGTGTCCATATCCTATCCTGCCATCTTGATTCTGTCTCCCAGATATCTTTAAAAAAATACAAAATACATTGCTATGCTGGCACACTGGTATAGTTAACACAAATTTGGAATAACCCAGGCCCAGGATCCTTACTAGCTATTAGCTGTTTTTCTCCAAGCTGTATAACACTTACCTAGGTACAATACAAACCTGGGCTGTTGGCATTACATAGTCTTGACTAAGAAAAAAAGGAACATTGTTTTTCTGTAAGTCACCTTTTTTCTAACATCACTCCTCTGGAGTGAAGTCATGTCGGTGATTTCTTCATGAAGACCCTAGGAAGCTGTTGAACCTCAACTAAAAAGGAAATGTTCTCCTCCTCTCCTCACCCACCCCTTACTCACAATGGCCTGCAGTCAGAGCCTCGTGCCCTCACTTAACTACTGTCCTTTTCTCTTCTTGGTTTCAGGAGGAAAGATGTCCATCGTCCTCCAGGCTGATGAGATCTCGGAGCTGCTGCTAGAACCATCCACAACTGCACTGGCCAAGGTGAGAATAGTCTGCAGGGAGCATTGGTGACAGCCAAGGAAGCGGTGATTAAGTGTTAAGGACAGAGGGAGGATTTTGTCTTTGGGTTTGACAGTCTTACCAATGCCTCTTCTGAGCGGTGTACATTCTCTGGATGCTTAATCACTTTCCAAACAAAATCTCATTTGTTGCAGTTCCAGCTCTTGCTGGGCCCCACGTCACCATGCCCACATGAAGATATGAGATGCCTCTGCTTGCTCTGATGTTTTTAGTTAAAGGAGTCCAAATTGGTTTCCTAGAGAGGAGATCAGTATACAGCAAAATATGTATTGTGGTAAAAGAGTTTGTAAGTTGCGCTCCCTAGAGTAATCAGGCCAGTGTCTACATATGTCTTATGCTGATTTTTTTTTAATGAAAAAATTCTAAGACAGCAATAGCTTGGTCTCCAGTCTGACTATGGGAAAATGTGAAAAGACATCAGAAAAAGTGCTGATTTCTGTAGTCCGGTGGCACTGACAAGATGTTATTGATGCCATCATGAATCTGGACTTTCTTGGGAGCCCCACGTGTCAGGGTCCAGTCTTTAGAACCACCAGTTCACTTGTGATTAGGTCTAGGTAAACAACTCCCAGAAATATTACATGGCCATATGCCATCTAAATTAATTTACACCAGGTGATAATAGCCATCAGTTTCATACTCATGAGACTTGAGCGCTGATTAGAAAAATGCTTATCTTGCAGTAGCCTTTGAACTGGTCTCCCTGTCCAGTCCATGCCATATAGTACTTCTGGATTATCAATATAGCTCTGAGACATTCCCTGTTGGGGGCCACACTCACTTAAAATGGTAACCAGTCCGTCAGTACTTTCCACTGTGTGTGTGGCCTGTAATTTCTATCTTACCCAATATGTATTTTGTTTACCTCCTACTTTCCTGTCCTTTCTACTTCTTTTCTGCTCTCCATCCTTTCACAAATCTTCCTCTCTAGAATTCCCATACATAGTTCTTGTCTAGGTGAGTGTGCTTTTGCTTGGGAGGCCTTGCTTAGTAATAATCCCTCTCTAAACTTGAGGAACCCATTCCCTTTTGGAAACCTTTAGCCATTTGTCAGACCAGCCATACCAAAGCTGTGTATAACACTGTTACCATGGGATCTAGTGAAGGATTTAGAGACAAACATCAACTTGATTAGGGAAGCAGTAAGGAGGCCTTGGGAAATCAATTTTCACCAGATACCATTTTCCACCATCGTTCATGTGTTTTGACTCTGTGAGTATGATATTCTTTGAGCACACACCAGGCCAATGATGTGGCAAAGGGATAGGTCCTTAATCAAGATGTGCTTGCAAATAAAGAGGACCAGGGTCATGATGTCTGTGCTCTTGGCTAGTAGAATGGGCCAAGTCAGGACTAACTGGGTGGACTTCAAACTTTGTGCTAAAATTAAAACAGACACCAGAATGTTAGTTAAGATGACTGTGGAGCCAATGGGTTCCAGCAGACTACTCCCTCGTCCTGGTGGAGTGTGAGGGCCAGGAGGATGATGCTACCCAGGGCAGTTGACATCCCTAACAGTTGTCCCTGCCGCTCCTGTATGTTTTTTGGAAATTACCAGTTCTGGATACTCATTCACGTTTATCATACACATACCGTTGAATAGTGTTTGCCAGTTCCTGGGATGAACACATATATGGTGTATTCCCAAAAACACACAGGCACCCCACTCTTCCCCACCCCCTAGACAAACACACACATATTCTCACTAGATGTGCATCTTTTCTCCTGGTTCCTTCCCCTCTGGAGAATTCCACCTTGGACAATTGATATTAATAGTAAGAAGGAAAACAAACAAAAAGAGCAATTCTGAGCAGCTGTTTGTCCTGAAATGCTTATGCTCCAAAAACCTCTTTATTTCTAGGACTCAGTCGATTTCCTCTCTCTTGATTTGTCTTATGAATGCCGAAGTGAAACAAGTCTACCAGAGAAGCTCAGTAAACTGCAGGTAATTTGAGACCTTTTCATATCAATGGTTAATGGCAAAGATTCCTGAGAGCATATTAGACACTTAATGCTTTGTGTAATGCATGGATGAAAAGGCATTTAGGGAGCTTGCCATCAAAGGTACCCTTGGGTTGTCAAGCAGTCTTTCTAGAAATGGTGATAAAGGTTATTGCTGGACACCAGCGCAGTGCCAGCTAACTTGAGAGCTTGTAAAAGGATGCGTGGATCAGTGAAAAGACAAGAAGAAACGTGGACCACTACGGCACGATGCTCATAATGGACAACTCAAAAAAGCTGCCTTCTTTATTTATACAGAAATCATCACAAGCTTTCGCAAAACATCCAGTTGTTTAATTTTTACTTCGTGGCTAAAAGAATGGTTACAAAAACAATTCTAAAAATATTATTATGATTTTATTTCAAAGGAAATATTTTCAGCAAACTATTATGCATTCAAACCTGCAGTTACTCAGCTAAAGCCAAGAACTCCATGGTTGGCCGCACATGTGCTTACATAGTGACAAGTGGTTTACTTATGTCCAAAATCAATTTTCACTAAGCCTAAACTAATATTGCTTAAAATATCAAGAGTACAGAATTGAAAAGAAAGCTCATAAATGAAAGGAATTTATAAAGGCATCTATCATAGATTCTTTATTAAACCTTATAATCAGTCATATACTAATTACCATCACCATCTCCTAGTACTGATTCAGTTGTTTTGTTCTTTTGCTAAAGGGCAGTGAAAAGGATCAGGGCAACCCAGCCTTTCTATGAACAGAGGACCTTTTTTTTTTTTTTTAACATCTTTAAAAAAATTTTTAAATATTTATTTATTTATTTATTTGACAATCTTGATGTAATTAGGGCAAAAAGATTCAAACACTACAGGAAGATGGGCAAGACAATTAGTTCCATATTGTTTCCTTAATATATCTAATGTAAAAGGGGATTTTAAAGGGAGAAGCCCCACCCGGTCTTCCACCCCAACCCCAGGTCCCGGATGTGGGGCATGCTCTGAGGGTCTTGCTCAAGTGTTTTTGATAGTTCAACAGTTCTGAATTGCTGCCACTCTGAACAGAGGACCTTTACAAGAAACTTCTTTTTATCTTTTTAAACTGTTCTTTCCCTAAATATGAGTGCCAATATAAGGTAGAAGTTTTAAATGATTTTTCTTTGGGGGTTCACATTTGTCTCCCTTTAGAAGATGCTCCATATATTTTCTGCTTTCTGTGGTGAGAAACCAAAATGCATCATTTCATGTGTTGTGACAGTTCAAGGCTGTACAGTAAACAAACTCTTTTTACCTCCATGATTGCCGTCTGTTCCAAGATATTATCAAGCCATTTCTTAAGGAAAACGTTACTTATATTAGGGTAAGCTCCGGGATAAAAATAGGCACATAACAGGATGTTTGGGGACAATGTGAGTTCAATTGTACTGTTGTATGCTTTTAGCTGATTGTTATTGCCTTAAGTTGCTGAAGACCTTTTTTTTTTTTTTTTTACCATAAATTGATTGATCACTTTGAAGTGTTACACCAGTTACAGGAATCATTTCACATTTGCAGAAAAACAACAACAACACTCTCAGGAGAATTCTTTGAAATATTAGAGAGGTGATCGAGTGTCCATACAATGGGGTAAGGCATCAATGAGGTGATTAGGGACATTCTGCCAGGCCTTGCCATACAGCCAGAAACTCCAGATAGCCTGGCTAACTGAGGAGTGGTGCTAGGCACACCATCACTCCATCTGTCCCAACTGCATGGGAGTCTGTTATTAGCTCCCTTGATTAGCTAAGATAGGTAGAAGTCATTTCCAAAGCATTGCAGCTTTTTATCTTGGAAGTTTGTCTGGTATCAGAAGATATTTCCTAGGCAATTTTGGTTCACTTTTGAACCTTTATCTTTTTTCAGATCATTGAGCCAAAAATGAGGGTTTTCATCTTCACTCTGAAGCTCCAGGACTGCCCCTCCACCAAGAAGGACCCAGGCAAGCTGCTCTTCAGCCTTCTTGAAGGTGAGAGGACCACTAGGGGAGAGTTGCTGAGTGACATTTGGTGCACTGGCTTGGTAGGTAGCAGTCTTGACAGTCTGAGGGTCCTAAGGGTGGAGGCTGGTGTGAGAGCTCATCTGTGGGTTTGGTGTCTCCTGCTCTTCTGTTGATGCCTTGAAGCCAGCTCTCCAGAGCCAAGAAAGAAGAGAGGTTTCTGTTAAGTAAGCCCAGAATGACTGAAAACTGATATTTAATCCTGTTACCCTATTCACAGGCAAGAAGTCCATGGTGTTTTTCCCCACACTGTAACCCCTTCTGGTGCTGGATGGTACCAAAGGCCTACTGGTGCCATCATCTACAGATCCCAGTCAGCAGCCCTCACCCTAACTCAGTTTTGACAGCATAACCAGTTCGTTCTCTCTCTCTGTGCCAATTGTCCCACTCATGGGGCCCGTGTCATGACATAGCCAAGCCAGGATCCCAATGGCTGCAATTTGTGTCTAGCTGCTCCACTTTGAATCCAGTTCCCTGTTTATGCACTGGGAAAGCAGCAGAAGATGGCTCAAGTCCTTGGGCTCATATACCCACCTGGGAGATCCAGAGGAAGCTCTTGACTACTGGCTTTGGTTTGGCTCAGCTCTAGTCTTTGCCACCATTTGGATAATGAACAAATGGATGGACAATCTCTCAATCTCTGTCTCTCTCTGTCTCCATCTCTTTCTCTCTCTTTCCTCTCTTTAATTCTTCCTTTCAAATAATAATGAAATAAATCTTTAAAAATAAGAAAATACTACTCATATTTAGTGGCCAAATAATTATTTCTGATTGTGCATATCTTACCACAGATTTAAAAAATATCTGCCAATTTCTAACATTTGAATTCTTTTATATTAATTGTGCCGCATGTGTGGGCACCAGCATCAACTGCACCATTAGCATCATCTGGGAATTTGTAACAAGTCCACCTTCCTGGATCCCACCTCGTATCTGGTGCATCAGAAGCTTAAGGTGGGCTCTGTAGCCTGTGTCACAACAAGCTCTGTGGGTGATGTTGATTTATACTGATGTGTGAGACACACTGTTTCAAGTCATACAAAGGAGAAATTATGTCTGACCACTATAACTTTTAGCCCAAGGTATTTTCCATAGGTGCTTGGAGCCATTCCTTAGTGTTTGATAAGTGAGGCAGTTTTTTTTATGTCAGACATATATGTTCTTAATCAGCTTTCAGATTAATCAAGCTTTTTCTCTTATAGCCATAAATAAAGACCAAGTGCTCACTATTGGATTTGATTTTAATGAATTTCTGAGCTGCTCATCACCTTCCATAAAAAGGTAATGTTATATTAATATAAAACTCTGCTATTCTTTCAGCTGCATAATCTCCTAGGAGTGGTGTCATTGCCTCTCAGACCAGTGGGTTTGTTATAGTCACTCACTAGGAAACAAAAAGGAAGGCTCAGAGTGAAAGTAAGGAGAATCTGTTTCTCCATGAGTCCTACTCTGTGCCCTATACAGTGTGGCTTTCTCACATAGCAGCACAAAACTAGCAGCACTAGAATTTGAACCCGTTCCAGTTAAGATCCTTTTAAAGTGGGCCAGGTGTTTGGTGTCATGATTAACACGTTTCTTGGGAACCCAACATCCCATGCTGGAATCCTGGGATTTGAATTAGGACTCCATTTCCACTTCCAGCTTATTATTAATGCATACCCAGAGAGGCAGCAGATGAAAGTTCAAATTCTTGGTTCCACTGGATCCTTATCATCCACATTGGAGACCTGAGTTGAGTTTGTCTTATGGCTTCAGCCTTTCCCAGCCCTGCCTGTCTCAAGCGTTGAGACCATAAAGCAGCAGATGAAAGGTTGTCCTCTTCCCTGCTACTTGTCTTTCAAAGAAACAATAATATTTTTTTAGAAAGATACTCTTGGGCCTGGTACAGTAACCAGTGGCTAAATCCTTGCCTTGCAACCACTGGGATCCCATATGAACACTGTTTCACGTTCTTTGTTCCAGCTGCTCTACTTTCTATCCAGTTCTCTGCCTATGACCTGGGATAGGAACAGAGATTAGCCCAAGTCCTTGGAGCCTGCACCTTTGTGGGAGACCCGGAAGAACTCACACAAGATTGGGTCAAATGTTCTAACCACTTGGGGAGTGAACCAGCAGATAGATCTTTCTTTCTGTATCTGTCTCTTTCTCTAAATCTACCTTTCCAATAATAAATGTATAAATCTTAAAAAAGAGAGAGGGAAGAAGAAAGATAATCTTGGAGGTATGCACATGAGGAAGAAAGGTCAGGTTAGACAGATATGACTGAAATCAGAAAACATGAGTTCTGTCAAGGTTTTACATTCTATTTGTTTGTTTGTTTTGAACATCAGTGTTAGGGGGAGAGAGAGAAAAGACAGCTCTTCCATCACCTGGCTCACTCACCAGTGGCCATAATGGCCAGGGCTGAGCCAGACGAAAGTTAGGATTGTCAATCAGGCTTCCCAGTTGGTTTCCAGGGGTCCAAGCACTTTGGCTATCCAGGCTGTTAGCAGGGAGCTGGATCAGAACTGGAACCTGTGAAATGAACTGGTATCCATATGGGATTCAGCATTGTAACAGCAGGTTCATCTATTACACCAGAAAACCAGTCCCATGTTCTCTGCACTTTCTTTCTTTCTTTTTTTTTTTTAAGATTTGTTTTTATTGCAAAGTCAGATATACAGAAGGAGGAGAGAGAGGAAGATCTTACGTCCAATGATTCACTCCCCAAGTGAGTGCAACGGCCGATGCTATGCTGATCCGAAGCCAGGAGCCAGGAACTTCTTTCCAGGTCTCCCACATGGGTGCAGGGTCCCAAGGCTTTGGGCCATCCTCGACTGCTTTCCCAGGCCACAAGCAGGGAGCTGGAAGGGAAGTGGAGCTGCCAGGATTAGATCCGGCACCCATATGGGATCCGGGTGCATTCAAGGCGAGGATTTTAGCCACTAGGCCACGCCACCGTGCCCCTCTCTGCACTTTCGATGTGACATGTTGTCTCTGTTAGCGAGGACAGAGTAGCGAGGAAAGTCAGCTGCTACAGAAGCTTCACTTGACAGTGTTCTTGTGAAAGAGATTTTAATCAATGGTGAGCTACAAATGATTTCTTAATAAATGATGAATGTCTCAATGATTCAAGTGATATACTTTTTAGAACATTTAAGCATATTTGAGGTTATCCACACAATTGTATCAAATTGAAGCAGTGAGAACCTGATATACTTTTTTTTTCTTCAAAGATTTATTCATTTTCATTGGAAAGCCAGATATACACAGAGGAGGAGACAGAGAGGAAGATCCTCCGTCCGATGGTTCACTTCCCAAGTGAGCGCAATGGCTGTAGCTCAGCCAATCCGAAGCCAGGAGCCAGGAGCTCCTCCGAGTCTCCCACGTGGGTGCAGGGTCCCAAGGCCTTGGCCCGTCCTCAACTGTTGTCCCAGGCCACAAGCAGGGAGCTGTATGAGAAGCAGGGCAGCCAGGAAAACCTGATATACTTTTCAAGCAGGTGAGAAAAGTGTGGTATGTTTTGCAGAACCTCAGCATTCTCCAAGCATGTGCTATACATGTGCACGACACACAGGGTGCCTTAAGGTGGGGTGAACACTGTCCATTTCCAGACTCGGCCAGAGCTCTTCTGTCATATACCTCTAATGCGTATCAACAAGAATGCCACAACTGCCACCTTTGTTCTTGTGGTGATTTTCTTATGGTAGCTGGCTCTTCTGAGCCATGACCCCCTTTTTGCCTTCAGTCCTCTAGCTCTCTTCTGACTGGATAGCAGACTCAGAGTAGCTGCTGTTCTTGAGGCTTTGTGCTGGGAGTGTAAGCAGAGCAGTGAACTCATAGCTGGAACTGCCCCCTCCTCACTCATAGGGCCAGCCAACGGTGCTGGGCTATGTCCCAGGAAAGAAACTGAAAACCAGAAATAAAACGGGTTTTCTGAGAGTTGAGTGATTACAAACTACAAGTGGCACCCATCCTGGGATCCCTGTCTATCACCTTGACCTCAGTGCTTCACCAAGGCCCACTTGACTCACTGTGATAGTGACACACGGGCCCGTACTAAGGGGATGTCGGTGGACAACTCTGGGCATAGGCACAGCTGGGAGGGGCTTCAGAGAAGGCTAACATCGATTTCTCCCTTGGGATTTTGGACCGTTCATGTGAGGCAGGCTCAAATGACTCCCACACCGGAGTGTGGCAGGGGACACACAGCACTGCATCCCCACAGGAGAAGAGGGCATTGGGATGCTGCGAGGCTCAAAGAGGGAACAGAAGTCCTGGGCAGAGAGCACGAGGCTTCCTTTGGCAGATCTCTTCCCAAGTCAGACAAACCCTGGAATCCCACTGCAGTGTCTGCATGGCAAGTTCTCTTTCACCAGGAGGTGTTTATATGTATCCTGAGACCAGTTTTCATCTAAGCCAGAAGGGCAGAGACTGAGGATTGGGTCAGAATGAGGTCACACACATCTGGGGCAGCACACGCTCTCCAGGCTGGACTCCAGGGTAGTGAGAATGTTCTGGATGAGCCACACCATAGTCTTCTCCCCTTACCACTGTCCTAGCAGATGTGGGTAGTGGTGCTGAGCAGCCAGAACAGCTGAGGTTTGGAAGACTGCTTCACATTAACTTGCCTCTGAGGAGGGAGATCTTTCAGCATTGTCCCTGTCTCTTTTGCCATTTCTGTGCTCCAGGAGACCTGCTGTGTATGTAACTCCCTCTCTACTCTGTACTGGACAGATGAGGAGGTGCTCTTGTGCTCTTGTGCTGGGTCTGGTTTTCCACCTGCCTATTGCCTTCTCCTGGCCAGCACACCTACTTCTGCCAACCTCTGCTCAGGGATGCCCTCTGCTGGGTGTCATTGTCAGCCCATTTTTTTGCTTGCAAAACGAGACAATAGATTTTTGTTTGTTTGTTTAAAGGCCAAGTTGCAGAAAGAGAAAGGGAGAGGGGGAGGGAGAGAAGGAAGAAAGGAGGGACGGGAGCTGGGAGCAGAGTAAGAGGAAAATAGGGAGGGAGGGAAGGAGAGAGACAACATATTCTATTTCACTGGCTCACTCCCCAAATGGTTGCAACAGCTGAGGGTGGGCCAACTGAAGCCAAAAGCTTCATCTAGGTCACCCATATGTGTGACTGTTGCCCAAAAACGTGAGCAATCCTCTGCTGGTTTCCCAAGTTCCCAGATATCAGAGAGCAGAATACCAAGTGGAGGAGCCGGAATTTGTGCTTGTAAGGGTCGTAGGTGTTGCAGACAGGGGCTTAATCTAATATACTGCAACATCAGACATAAAATTTGAGTTTAAAAATTTTGGTTAACTAGTTTTCATTTTATATGAAAGTCAAAGAAAAAGAGACAGACACAAATTTTCTAACTGCTGACTTATTCCTCAAATGCCCACAATAACCAAGGCTGCACAAAACAAAAACATAACTTACGGATTGTGAAATTAATCTAGAAGCTGGCAACCAAGATTTCTGCCTCATACCACCACCCCTCAAATTAGAAAGGAAGGGAAAAAGAAACGAATGGGAAAGGTAGATAAACAGACAAGAATAAAATAGAAAATTTAAGGCTGCATATGAAGATAGCACATTTCTGTGCTGTTTTTGTTCAAATGTATTTATTAACATGTATATAAACTAAAGTATCATCAACTCTACACATCCATATAATGGCAAAGTGGTTAAAAAACACAGTCTTGGGGCTAGCACCATGGTTTAACATGCCAATCCTCTGTCTGAAGAGCAGTATGCCATATGGACACCAGTTTGAGTTCCGGCTGCTCCACTTTTGGTCTGGCTCTTTACTTACGGCCTTGAAAAGCAGTGGAGGATGGCTCAGGTTCTTGCACAACTGCACCCACCTGAGAGACCACAAAGAAGCTCCTGGCTCCTGCATTCAAATTAGCGTAGCTTCTGTGGCCATTTGGGTAGTAAAGCAACAGACGGAAGATATGTATGTCTCTGTGTGTCTGTCCTCGTCTGTATAAATCTGCCTTTCAAGTAAAAGTAAATAAATCTTAAAAAAAAAAAAACTTCACAGCTTCTTATCTAGAAAAAAAAAAAGACACAGACTTTCCTTTCAAGCTTGTGGTTAAAAAGAAGTTACTTACAATTATCAGGTATGCAGACCAAATTTTGTTGCTTGCTCATCTTACTAAGGCCTCTTACCTCATGGAACCAGATAAATACTTGAGCTCCCAACTGCAGAAGCATAAAGAAGAAAGGAACTTGTAGCCAAAGCTGGTATTAGATTACATACTAACCGAGGTTCAACTATTGAATACTGCTGCACCAGCTGATAAATAGCTTTTGATCCCATAAGGCCCAAAAGTTACTCAGTTCTTTAAACCTATTTTCCCCTATAGGATAAGGATAAATAGTTGAAGCATCTATCTCAAAGTTTACTGTGGAAATTATATAATATATATTTATTCTTATTAGAGTGACAAACAATAATCCAGGGTTGAACAAAATGAAGTCATCACTATGTTTTAAAATTTTATTCATTTATATTATTTATGTGAAAGAGACAGAAATACAGATAGAGACAAACACAGGCAGAAATTTCCCAACCTCTGATTAACTTCAAAAATGCTCACAGCAGCGATGGCTGGCACAGACAAAAGCCAAGATCCAAGAATTATATCTGGGAATCCCGTGTGGATTATAGAGATCCAATTATCTCAGCAATCACTGTTGCCTTTCAGGATTTGTGTTAGCAGGAAGTTAGAAATGAGAATGCAGCAATACCTGAATCAGGCACTCCAATATGTGCTGTGGGAAGGCCGTCTAGTGGCGATATTGCTGCTGCAAACACTTTTTTCTGAAGTCACCAGAAGTAGCAATATTTTATAAACAATACATATTTTAAAGAATAATATATGGCACTAGAAGGGAAGATAGTATTCAAGCACAATCTAAGCTTTGTTACTGCTTATAGTCATACAAGAGAAATGAGAAAAAAAAAGATAGTCATACTAATTTTTCCATCTGCTAGGCACTTTCCACCTATGACATTTGGAAATTTTCTTGACACAGTGCTTCTGCAATCTTTCTTAATTAATCACATTGCCACTCTCCATCAGCATAGGGACATCTGTCTCTCACAAGGTCATTCATCACGATGTCCCTTTATGTCCCTTCTGTCCACAGCATGTCTTGCTCTCTGACTGACAGCCTGCCCCTTCAGACTGACCAGCATCAGCACCAGGAGAGATCTGCTGGCCCCTCACCCGCAGGCTCAGCCTACCAAAGAGTGTGGGAAATGTTTGCTAAGCAGCCCAGGGCAGAAAGGGATGAGTTCCTGCAGGATGCTTTCCCCCAAGGCTTCCTCTGGGGCGTGTCCACAGGAGCCTTTAATGTGGAAGGAGGCTGGGCTGAAGGTGGAAGAGGGCCCAGTGTCTGGGATGGATTTGGGCTCAAGCAGGCTGCCAAGGACAGGGCCACAGCGGAGGTGGCCAGTGACAGCTACTACAAGTGGGCCTCTGACGTGGCCCTGCTGCGTGGCCTCCGGGCTCAGGTGTACAAGTTCTCCATCTCCTGGTCGCGGATCTTCCCCAGTGGGCGCAGGAGCAGCCCCAGCCCCCAAGGTGTCGCCTACTACAACAAGCTGATCGACAGCCTGCTGGACTCCCACATTGAGCCCATGGCCACGCTGTTCCACTGGGACCTGCCTCAGGCCCTGCAGGATCAGGGTGGGTGGCAGAACGAGAGTGTGGTGGACGCCTTTGTGGACTATGCCGCCTTCTGCTTCTCTGCCTTTGGAGACCGTGTGAAGCTGTGGGTGACCTTCCACGAGCCGTGGGTGATGAGCTACGCAGGCTATGGCACTGGCCAGCACGCACCGGGCATCTCGGACCCAGGACACGCCTCATTCCAGGTATTTCCATCTCTGCTGTCCACTCATGCAAGGAGAGGGGGTATATGGCTGGAAGAAAGTCAGTTATCTGTTTTCCCTTCCCATCCACAAGTCTTTACTTGTTTTTAAAGCAGTCAGAGGGAGGGGAAGAACCACAAGTTGTTGGTCACATTATTTTGTCCTGACGCCATGCTTGCCTTGAGAAACAGTTCTTACATCCTCAGAACAGCTCTGAAGGGCGGGGCTCAGAGAGCATAAACCATGTGATGATAGAGACAACATTAGCAGGTCACCAGTTGGAAGCCAAGCATCCAAACCTAAGACTTCTCGGCCCTGAAGCAGGAGTCACATGTCAGTTGGGACTCTTAGTGGCAAGTGACAAAACAACTCAACAGTCCTAATTGATTCTCAGCAAGGAGAGAAGTTATTGCTTCAGGAAACTGACAACTATTGATTTTAGTTTGATCAGAGCTCAGGCAGTGTCACCAGGACCCAAGCAATGCTGGGCTCTCCTTCCCTGTCCCCCTCATTGATGTGAGCCATGCCTGTAGTTCATGACCAGTGTGAAGGAAAGCATGTCTGTCGCCTGCACTCCAGCGCGTCTGCCTGGTTGCTGATCTCTGCCTAGGCTGCATGCCCACACCTGAGACCATACTGTGTCTTAGCTTGGGACTGTGGTGACCTCTGTCTGCTCTCTCCCTCACCACGCGGGCTGAGAGGTGGGTGTGGAGCAGCAGAGAGGGGTTGGTTTTCTACAGGACATTGCTTGAGCAAGAGTAGATGTCATGCTGAGGGCAAAAGTTTTAATGATTTAGCCTGGGGTTCCATGCTTTCCCCTTTTCTTCAAAATCTACCTCCCACCCAAAATCCTCTTTTTCTTCCCCATATTCATTAGTGCAGAAATGTCAGAAATTTCCCTTGTTTGGAGTTCTGTTCTAAAATTTGAATATGTGCTATGTCCCATGCTAGCTTTTTTTTTTAAAGATTCAATTTTTTCTTCTTTCTTTCATTCTTGCTCTTTCTTTTCTTTTCTTCCTTCCTTTGCTTCTTTCTCTCTCCCTTTTTTTTTATTTGAAAGGCAGAGATACAAAGAGGAGAGACAGAGAGAAACATCTTTTTTTTTAAAAAAAAGATTTATTTATTTTTATTATAAGTCAGATATATAGAGGGGAGGAGAGACAATGAGGAAGATCTTTTGTCTGATGATTCACTCCCTGAGTGGCCGCAATGGCTGGAGCTGAGCCAATCTGAAGCCAAATGCCAGGAGCCTCTTCTAGGTCTCCCACATGGGTGCAGGGTCCCAAGGATTGGGCTGTTCTTGACTGCTTTCCCAGGCCACAAGCAGGGAGCTGGATGGGAAGTGGGGCTGTTGGGATTAGGATCTGTGCCCATATGTGATCCCCGGAGCACAAGGCGAGGACCTTAACCACTACATTGTCGTGTCAGGCCTGAGAAATATCTTATGCAGTGGGTTCACTGTCCAAATTGCTGCAGGGACAGGAGCTGAACTGATCCAAATCCAAATGTCAGAGACTTCTTCCAGGTCTCATATGTGAGATCGGGCACCCAAGACTTGAGCCATTCTTCACTATTCATGCTATGCCTAGGGCATAATCATGAATCTGGATGGGAAGTGAAGCAGCTGGGACACGAACTGGCACCCATATAGGATGCTGGCACTGCAGGTGGAAGCATAGCCTTCTAATCCTTGGTGTCAGCCCCTTACCATACTAGTCTTTAGAAGGGAAATTCAAGGCCCAGGGCAATGATTCAATGGCTAAATCCTCACCTTGCAAAAGCCAAGATCCTATATGGGTGCTGGTTCACGTCCTGGCTGGTCCTCTCCCCATCTAGCTAATTGCCTATGGCCTTGGAAAGCAGTAAAGGACGGCTCAAAGCCTTGAAACCCTGCACCTGTGTGGGAGACCCATGTGGGAGACCCAGAAAAGGTTCCTGGCTCCTGGCTTCAGATTGGCTCAGCTCTGGCCCTTGTGGGCATTTGGGGAATGAACTGGTGGATGGAAGATCTTTCTCTTTTTCTTTCTCTCTATATATTATCTGCCTTTCCAATTAGAAGATTTATTTTATTTTTATTAGAAAGTAGCGTAAGCAAGTAGCTGAATAGGAAGAGCAGCAGCCTGGACATGGGCAGATGTCCATTTGGGATCCCAGTGTGCATAAGGCAAGACCTTCAGCCACTAGGCTACTGTGCCGAGCCCAAAAATAAATATGTCTTAAAAAGAAAAAAAAGGAAAGAAAGAGAGGAAACTCAAATATGCCCTTTTTGTGCTATTACCTTTTAGGGAAGGTGATGCTTATGCAAGTAATAAAATTCTGAGAACCACTCAGAGTCTCCATAGGTAAGGTTAGCTGGTATACCAGGAGAAGTAGATTCAATGAAATGCCAAAAGTTTAACATAGAAGTGAAAGCATCTATTCATCTTACAATTTTATTTATTAATTTTATTTGAAATATATATATATACATGTACACATAAATCCTGTATCCACAGTTCACTCCCTATATGTATATAGCAGCTACGTCTGGGCAGGAGTGTAGAAATTCTTCTGGGTCTACCATATAGGTGACAGGAACCCAAGTTTTTGGATACATGTTAGCAAGAAGATGGAATGAAGAATGGAACCAGTACTCAAATCCAGACACTCGGATATGGGATTCAGACATGTCAGAGGCAATTTAACTGTTGGCTCAACATGAAGCTTTTACTCTGTTGTCACTCAGCAAAGTAACTCATTGGTGCATGAAGCATTCTCCTGAAATGGGTTGTTTGCACTTCTCTTTTTGCCTCCTTGGTATGAATTTCATCCAATTGTTTCTGATTAGGGTTTTTTCTTATGCTTTAAGCTATGGCTATTCAAATATTTTATAGTTTCTTGGATAAAAAAATTCCTTTATGTTTCTCCTTCACTTTTTGCTTTTACTCCTTAGGATGTTTTTAAAAAGTTTTTAGAAAAATGGAGTTGAAATATGTTTGTTGGGTGGCAAGGATTTTTAAATGCATGCAGGTTTCTGTCAAATGCCTTTCTTATGAGCTTTTTGGAGATTCTTCATATTAAATTACAATGCCATAGTTATAGTTCAGGTTGCTAGAATGCCCTAGCATGATGACAATAGATGTTTATTTCTCATAGTCCTTGAGTTGGAGAAGCCCAAGATGAAGGTGCCAGGTTGGTCATGTTGTGATGAGGGCTCACTTGCTGTTTGCAGATAGCCACCTACTTGTTGTGTCCTCATAGTCCTCAAATGGTGGGGGTATTGGACAAATTTCTTTCACATGTGTTTTTCAAATAATTTTTCACCAAGGAAAGCTGTTAAGTTGTAAAACCACAAGTTAAGTCAATGAAGAGATTCCTCTGGTTGTGATTTTTCACCCCCAGATTTCATTCAGTAGAGAAGCAAACAGGTGGGAAAGAAAGAAGGTCTCTCCCTTGTGAGTTGTTTTTAAAATCCTGTCCATGAATCACTAATTTGTCAATGGCACTTATTATAGACAGAAGCAGAATAGAAGTGATGGTAATAGGCCTAGGTCAGACTGCCTGGATTTTACTCATCACTAGGATCCTTGTTGAGCTTTTACACCTTTTTTTTAATACTGAGAAAGTTAACAGTTTATTATATTTTATTTAATATTCTAGGAAGTTCACAGCCATCAGCAGTTCCAAAGCAATTTCAGGTACAATTGGGAATTTAGGAATCTCAGAGGAGCTGTTAGTGTAATGAACCTTGTAGGTAAAATAAATGCATACTTTTGATAGCACATGGGAAGGGATCTCTCTAAAATTGACCTCATTGGTTTCTTTTTCAGCACACTGACCTGGGCCACTCAACATGGCTTCAATTGTTCCTGATGTTAGTGCACGTTCTCTTTTTACAATTAAATTCATGGCCATCAGAGGATATTAACTTGATATACACAGCATCATGGCCGTCATAGCTACCATAAGTTTTCTCCTCTCCATCTATTATGTTCTTATGAAGTTCTACTTTGCTTCCACAGGAACTTCAGTAGTTTCTCAGCAACCCGGCAGTGAGTGTAGCCATCACAGCTGGGTCCCCGTGAACCACCACAGCCCCTACTCAGGGCCACCCCCCGCCCCTACCCCAGCAGGTTCCAAGATTTTACACCTTTCTGGCTTATATTTTCATCATCTTTAAAGTGCTAATAATAGAATCAAGATGGTGGAAAAAGTAAGGATACCTTAAACAGAGAAACATTAGCCAGGGTTAAGCAGAGAAGATACATTCCAGGAATTAGGAAAGGACAGACTGAAGACAGAGGGGCACCTGCTGATTGACAGACAACAGGAAAGCTGTGGAGACAATGGTGTGGTGTTGCAGTGACCAGATATACCAGCAGCATTCAGCCAGCAGCAATCTGACCTGCACTGGTGGCCAGAACTCAACCAGCAGCCAGGTGGGAAGGGAAATTCACCAGGAGCTCAGGAGATGAACCCAGACAAAGAGCTGCCCATCCTGCTGGTTTGTTTGATTTGACCAGGAGCAGAGGCAGAGCAGCAGATCTCAAACAAGCATTATGGGAACAGGGTGGAATTCACAGCCCAGAGAACCAACAGAACTGAATCTGGCAACATCTTGTACAGGGAAGCAAAGGCTATGGGACAGGACAGTTCATGCACTAAGCTGGGAGCAAATTCATTTCTGGCTCAGTAAATTGCAATGACATGACATCCTACAGGTTACTCCCAAAATAGGTTCAGGTATTCTCCAGACCTAATGGCCAGTAGATCAAGAACTCCATGAGTGGCATATCAAGCGCCATTTTGTATAGTGTGGCAAAGGCTTTGAGACTACAGGGACAACAGTGCGCTGCACATGCACTGAGCTGGGAGCAAACTCATTGAGCTCAATGCATGTACTGGTTGCCACTCTCTGTAGGGAATGGCACAAGTGACTATAAACAAAGAGCCATGTACTAACTGCAATAAGTAAAATTGAACTTATGGGTGACACAGGTATGAAACTTGCCCTAAGGAAAAGA